ACTGTGCATCTCCTTTTTGCGGCACTGCAGCAGATCAACCAGCCACAAAAGGAAAGTCAAGCTCTGCACAACAAATCCTGTATAGCACAGTAAAAAAATAACACTTAAATGGAAGATACTTTAATGGTATGTACATGCTGCTATTGTTTCTCTGCATTTATTGATGCATCTAACTTCACTGTAACATTTCTAAAAATACTTCCAAATTTGTTCTTTATATATCAGTGCATGCAAGAAAAAAAACCCAAGTGACTGTCAATGTATTGCAGTGTGTCTGAACTTATAAAAGTACATGTAAACCCAATCACTAAAATCTCATAAAATAATTTAAATTTTGATATCATTTTCAATATTTTTAAAAATGTAGCTTTCATTAAAATAAAACCTGGTGATAAGATTATCTTATACTAAAATATATGGACAAAAATCATTGATATGTTAGTCCATACCAGTAAATATTTTAGCTTTCAAATTAAAGCCAATCTATACCCAAAGCTTTTTTTTTTTAGGTTTGGACAGAATGGGGAAAGGTTAGAACTACTGTCAGGTGAATGAGCTCATGCACACTGGACGTTTTCTTAACTCTCCTAGAACCCTTCCTCCTGGCAGCAGCGTTTTTGAAAAAAACAAACAAAACTGATGCTCATAAAAGTGTGTAACACATTTAGCCGTGTTTACCTGCATCAAGAGTTTGGATGTTAATTCATTTAATTCGCCAGAATAATTTATTCTGGACATTGAATTGAAATAATGCACAAGTGCTAAACGTGCCTAGCGTGAATGCATGTTTAGACACTTTTTCAAGCATTTAAACGCGTCATGCATTTTTTTTCTGCCAAAGGGCTACTACTTCTGGACGCACTGGCAGTGTTTTTTTTTTCCTGCCACTAAACACCTCTAAAAGTTTATGTGTGCATGCACACTTAGCCTAACATGCCAGGGCCCATCCCCCTGACAATGTCCTCTGTGACGAAACGCGTTGGGTGGGGCTTATGCGAGTGACATCATCACATACTGTGAGGCAGTTGGATAATTCTTAGGCAGCCCACTGAAATGTTGTTTATGTCCACATGTGATGTGCTGTTTGGCTGTTTTTGGCCACTACGCGATGTGAGTGCATTACTTTGATTTTAACATTAAAGCATATTTTACGGTTTTACACCATGGGTAGGCACCATGTTTTTGCTTTTGAGAGCTTTCGAGAGGGACACTGCTGGATCCTGAGTTTGCAGCATTGGAGGTCCTTTGGCAAGAGGGTAGCCAGAACAACCCCAAAAGTGCTGTTTGGCTGTTTGATTATGAGCAATGGTCTATGGCAGGGGTCTTCAAACTATGGCCATCCAGGTGTTGAGGAACTGCAAGTCCCATGAGGCCTTGTAAGACTCTAACAGCAACAGGCAGGACTCCCAGAGGCAGAGGCATGATAGGACGGTTTTACATCATGGATAGGCACCATGTTTTTTGCTTTTGAGAGCTTTCGAGAAGGACACTGCTGGATACTGAGTTTTCAGCATTAGAGGTCCTTTGGCAAGAGGGTGACAGGAACAACCCCAAAAGTGCTGTTTGACTGTTTGCTTTATTAGCAATGGACTATGGCAGGGGTCTTCCAACTATGGTCCTCCATGTGCTGAGGAACTGCAAGTCCCATGAGACCTTGTGAGACTCTGACAGACACAGGCAAGACTCCCATGGGACTTGTAATAGTTCAACAGCTGGAGGACCATTGTCTATTCTTGTCTATTGTATCCGGTATGCTGCTGACTTCTTCACTTTTCACTACCACCGGGTGTTTTTTTGTGAAGATTCTTCAGCACTGCACTTCTTCTGGAGGACTTTTTTGGATGTATTCCAATTATTTATTTCATTTTTTTGAGAATATATATTTGTTGTAATAGTACTATACAACACTATACATTGTGTATGAGATAATATGATTTTCTCATGAACACAATATGCATGTTTTCTCACTATTTAATTTTTGGATTTAGCACCACACTACTATTTATTAGTGATTTTTTATCTATTTTAGGCTTAGTATCACAAGTCTCCGTAGTGTTGGCAGCTTTAATAGTATATCTAACCAGTATCAGTATATCTTCAAGTGCAGAGGTTTCTTTTACAATGCAAGGGAGTTTAGAAGCAGAAAAAAAAATGCCTAGGAGCAGCTGTAAAAATGTCCAGTGTGCATGAGGCCTCACTGTTATCCAGGGCTCCATTGGAGAGATTTCCCCTCACTTCCTGTGCAAGAGACAAAGTATTACCAGATAGGAAGTGAGGTAAAATTTGCAACAGGAAAACAGACAACAAAATAAACAAGGATTCTATCATTCCCCTACTTAACTTAAAGCGGTATTAAACCCAAAAGCAAGCATTTATTATGTTATTAATTCTTAGATGTGACAGCTGCATTCATTTTCTTTTTATACTTCCTTTCTTCTATTTTTACCTGGCGATCTTGCCAGTAAGTCTATTCTCCTGAAAATGTAGCAGTTAGAGTGTTGAAACAAATTATTTACCACTGAAAGGGGTGCTTTAAATGATCAGCTTTTATTTATCCTTAAGGTGTTACTAAACCCACAACAGTAAAATCAGTCTGTATATGCAGTAAAGCATGATTGCTACACTCACTGCGGAACCTACGGGGTTAATTCTCTGTATTGTGTAAAAAGGCTGTTTAATCCTTTCTTCTCTGCCCCTCCTCTTGTTGAAATGACCACCTGATACAGACTGAACCCGTGGTCACATGCACATGCTCAGTTTGGTGTGTATTGCTACAGAGGGTTTTTTTGGGGGGAGGGTGCATGTGATCAGCACAGGGCCAATCAGCACTGTCCAGACAGAAGATCAGGGGTTTCACATCCTCCTAGAGCAGAAAGAAAACTCCTCCTACAAGCTTTAACATATGCTCTGCTGGACACTGATAGTATTCACAAGACTGCTCTAACTGCTGATGAGAAAAGGTATTTAGCAGTTTATACTTACTAAAATAATTGCATTTCCATGTTGTGTGTACTGTGGGAGACCAGATATAACGAATGCAAGGTCCTGGGTTTAGTAACACTTTAAACCTTTATTCGAAAAAGAAAAGAACTGTTTGCTGTAACTGATTGTAGCATTAGTTGGAGTTTGGCTTCAATTTGATAGTCCATCTGAATCTGCTTGTAAATCTAACTCTCCCCTCCCCCCATACTGTCAATGCTGCTGTCCAAAGGTGCCCCCTGTGTTACTTCATCCAGAGTGGAGGCACTCTAAATAGAAGTGTGTTATTGGGAAGATCACCAGATGACCAGGACAACTTCAGTGTGACTTTTGGTGCGACTTTGATCCAACTTTACATTCTCTGGACCAAAGTCGCATCAAAAGTTGCATCAAAGAAGTGCAGGCACCTTTCCAAAGTCACTGTGACTTAACCCCTTCATGCTGGCGCGCTTCCCAGCCCTTTATGGAGTTTATGACGCCGGGAAGCGGGTCAGGGTTTCGGGTCATGTGACCACCGTGATGTAGACGATGTTGGATATCCTCCAGCCGAAATATGAAGCGGGGTCTATCTGACTTGGTTCAGTTTCTAAAGCACACTATGATAACCTCACTGTGTGCAGTAAATAATTATGTATAGGAGAGGATCCTGTACAACTGTGCAAGACTGAACTTAACCTCCTTGGCGGTATGATTCTTTCTGATTTTTTGTGCTGAAAGCGGTACCATTTTTTTTGCATGGAAATATGTAGTTTTTTTATTGTAGGCTGTAATTTTTAGGAATAACTCACTGAAATCTGTCCGAACAAGAGTCTAGTAAACATCCCGGGTATGATAAAACTTGAAACACGAAATCATAAATTATAATTTAATAAATAATCATAAAAAATAATATAATAACAATAAATTTAATTCAATAATATAATCAAACCAAAAACACTGAAATTTGAAATACAGAGGCAAATTCGCACATCGCTGAGCAAAGTCGCAAAATCGTTTTCAGTGTCTGATGACGAATTTCCCCACGAATCATTATCACTCAATTCTGCAAGTGGTTCTGATTTACTATCGCTGTTCTAAAACCGCTTTTGACGTAAAGGGACGCTTTTTGGACGCCATGGACTTTTCTAAGTTTCCAGGCAGAAAGAACATTCAAAATGCAGGCAGGGCACAGGACAAAGCAGTAGGGACAAAATATATGTGAAATGCATTGAAACAGCAATGACAGCAAAAATGACATTTTTTAAAAATTTCAAATTTCCCGCCAGTTTCCGGCGCCCGTACGTCCCGACGTCACAGGGACTGGAACACGGAAGCCAGATGCCAGCATCGGCCAGAGGAGATGGCCGGGGACGCTGCAGGGGACACATCGCGGGAGTGAAGGACAAGGTAAGTGCTGCAGGGACCCCCAGAGCAGCACCGCATGGTAAGCCCGAGTGTAGCTCGAGGTTACCGCTTTTGGTACAGACATTTTACCCCGAGCTACACTCGGGAATACCGCTAAGGAGGTTAAGGTAGCAGTTTAATTTGACATTATTTTTTTTGGTACTCACCTTAACACCTAGAAGATATATTGTATAAAAAATCTGAATTTCCTTTGAAATGTCCATTCTTCCATGTCAGTTGTGTGTATATGCACACATACACACACAGACACACATACATGTATAATATATTTTTCTCTAAAACTAAGTAGCAGTAACGGAGGGAAACCACCTAAAAAAGGCGTGTTTACATAATATATGACCCAATTTTAATGATACAGTTTCAGTATGAGCAATTCAGAAATATCTAATACTTTTGGTATGTGGTGGAAAAATATTAAACGTACTAAACAGTTTTCACTTGTAAATTAAGGGCAGTTAGCTACCAGCCTAAAAGGAAAGACAGATCATTTACTAGGATATAACTTGACAAATTAAAGCGGAACTACACTATATTGTCAAAAGTATTGGGCCAGCCCTCCAAATCATTGGATTCAGGTGTTCCAATCACCTCCATGGACACAGGTGTATACAATCAAGCACCTAGGCATGCAGACTGCTTCTACAAAGATTTGTGAAAGAATGGGTCGCTGTCAGGAGCTCAGTGACTCCAAGCGTGGTCCCGTGATAGGTTGTCACCTGTGCAATAAGTCCATCCGTGAAATTTACTTGCTACTAAATATTCCACGGTCAGCTGTTAGTGGGATTATAACAAAGTGGAAACAACTGGGAACAACCACAACTCAGCCACCAAGTGGTAGGCCACGTAAAATGACAGAGCGAGGTCAGCGCATGCTGAAGCACACAGTGCACAGAAGTCGCCAACTGTCTGCAGAGTCAATAGCTAAAGACCTCCAAACTTTGTGTGGCCTTCAGATTAGCACAACAACAGAATAGGTTTCCATGGCCAAGCAGCTGCATCTAATCCTTACATCACCAAGTACCATGCAAACCTCCGGATGCCGTGGTGTAAAGCACGCTGCCACTGGAATCTAAAGCAGTGGAGACGTGTTCTTTGGAGTGACCAATCACGCTTCTCTGTCTGGCAATCTGATGGACATGAGTCAGGAATCAAGGAGTGACCAGAAAGGTGTGGACTGACACAGGGAAACGCAGGTAATATAATAGTTTATTATTAGCCACCCAGATATATATCTATATAAACGCACAGTGAACAAACCAACCTTCCACTAATCTTTAGGAGGTGCAGGAACACAGGCGTAGTCAGGGCTGGAGAGGTCGAACGGTCAGGCCGGCCGTAGGGTTCTGTAATGACCGTTTGGTGGTACCTCTAGCGGTCCTCAGGGCAGGATTCCCCAGGGCGCGGAGTCTAAGCCCCAGTCTGCCTTTTCACCAGAGCCCCTGATGGTGGGGATGGACTTGGCGCAGGACTGAGACCAGGTCGCGGCCCCTGAGTACACCTGCTAGTGGTAGAGGGATCCGCCAGAGGTATGTGCAGGTACGGCTGGATCCGTGCAGGATGGATGGATGGCAGAGTAGTTAGCATGGTCAGACAAGCCGGGTCGGTAACGGTGGAGGCAGATCAGTACAGAGCAGCAGGCAAAGAGTAAACGGGTCACAAGCCAAGGTACAGCAACAGGAGGTCAAACAGCATAGGAGTAGGCAGAAGAATAGTCAGGGATGAGCCAGTAGTCAGAACAGGAGACGGTCAACAGAGATCAGGATCAAGCCGGGTCAGCAACGAAGCAGGAACACAGGGTACAGAGGCTCATGGGAAAACATACACCAAGGCCCAGAGCACAGGCCTGGTCATGCCTTATATACACCTTTCTACAATCAGCCCCAGGTTTGGCTGATTGTGAGCTTCTGGCTGCTAAGAGCACCCGCTGGTCAGCTCTGGTACTGCAGCCCACACGGCAGGCGAGTCCCACCACCAGTGCTGAGTCCATTCCTGACAACATGTCTGGGTTTGGCAGTTGCCAGGAGAACGGTACTTGCCTGGCTGCACTGTGCCAATTGTAAAGTTTGGTGGAGGGGGGATTATGGTGTGGGATTGTTTTTCAGGGGTTGGGCTTGGCCCCTTAGTTCCAGTGAAGGGAACTCTTAAGGCTTCAGCATACTAAGACATTTTGTACAATTTCATGCTCCCAACTTTGATCTCTAGAAGTCTCTAGAACTCAGTGGGTGGGGGTGAGGAGGAGCTTGCCTGCACTCTTAAGGGATTCTGACCAATCCCCAAGCAGGAGGCTTGGAATGGGGTCAGGACAGCCCTTAAGAGGAGGAGGGAGAGTTTGGGTGGAAGAAGGAGTGTGGAACCTGGGAGGGGTCCAGAAGAGAGGCCAACCTACAGGCAGAGGAGCTGGAAGGGAGAATCTCTCAGCCTCATCCTCCCCTGAGAGAAGACAGCCTGAGAAGCAGGGAAGGAGCCAGCCCAACATAAGGCTTGAAAGCAGCCACCAACCCACAAACTTGCAGGAGAGGACTGAGTGAGTAATCCCACACCCCCTGGGCCAGATAAGGGGAGAGGACATTCTGGTGGGAAACCTGATTAGCACCCATCTGGGACTGCTGATCTTAAAGTGGCAGGTTCTGGATCTCCCAGGCAGCTGGGTGAAGAGGAGATTTCATCTGGGGTCTGGGGTGGTACACCAGGAGAGGCTAGATAGCTCTCCAAAGAAGAAAAACCCTTCTGAGAGTTTGTATATAGTTCCAGGAAGTTGTCCTCAGTTTTACAGTTCCTTGGGCATCCCATGCATCCCTCATCCCCATCCAACTTATCACCCCTAATAAAATCCCCTCAAAAAAACTGTTCACTGTCTCTTGAGTGTAAAGCTGGAAGGAAATGCATGTTGCCTGGCTGTGCAGTACTAAAGAGGGACCCAAAACAGTAGCAACTCCTAAGGGGGAGGTGCTACAGATATAGTGATAAGTGATCACATACCCTCTGTTCTCAGCTGCATAGAGCTGGGGCAGGAGAAACAGCAGCACACTAATCTTCCCAGTGAATCACTGTGCGGAGGGGGGTTCGGGGGGGTCAGGACACATCTGATCATTGGAGGAGGGAAGGTCGGGTTCTCAGCACAGCTGGAGAGTTGGCTGTGCTCTCACTCCTAGTGTGGTCAGGTTTTAATAAGAAAGCAGGGGGAATGGCAGGAACAGCAGAGATTTCACACAAAGGAAACAATACAAGAAGAACAGAATATTTTTTTCATATAAGTACATGGTACAGTAGGCGCATATCAGGAATATAAAATGTTGGGTTTATATATCCTTTAAATAGAGGGAGAAAAAAAAAAAAAATATATATATATATATATATATATATATATAAATATATATATATACATTTATTTTTTTTTTTTTTATTTATTTTTTTTTTATTTACACTCATATAAAATATACATATCTTTATTTCTTCTCTTCTGTTATTCTGTTGCCTCTGTTATTCTGTAGCCAAGCCTCTTACTAGAGGGCCATACACCCCCATAACAAATCAGCAGTTATTATATAATAAAGGCCGGTGTCATCTCCTTTCAGGGCATCATATAGATACAGTAACTCCTATTGTGACACTTTAATGCATCAGATAGCTTGTGCAGGCAGTAATTATGACATCACGAGGCGGACAGAAGTACAAACAAGGAGCCTGATTTGTTGTAATTTTGTGCACCCTTTGATTTAAGAAGCATTCATTATTCTGAATTCATAAAGAGGTACAGATAACTAACATAGGCCCGCGTCCTCCAAAAAAATAAAAGTAATGATTAGTTTAACCCTTTGCTATTAGGAGTGTCTATGCATCCCCAAGGCGGACAAGCCTTTCGTTCCCATGGCAGGGAAAGGGTTATCATTATGCTGAAGAGGAGGCTGTTTCTATTGTTGACTAGGAAAATAGCCACTTTTTTTGTGAACTCAAATGTCTCTTTCAATAGCAGAGCAAAATGTCAGCGGCAAAATGCAGGGCTGCCTCCCCCGTTACCATGACGACAGGCCTGCAGGCTTTGTATCAAATGGTTTGATAACCATGATGAGGTTGTAGATGTTCATGCCGCAAAATTGGTTTTACTGTTCCTAAGGAAGGCCGATTTCATTTTTAATTTATATCAGAGGAGACTTTTGTTAAAGTGAAAATGGAAGGACAGAAAAAGGGGGCGGGAGGCAGAGAAGTAAGGAGCAGAGATTGTGCATATCGGAATGTAGCTCTGGAATTACTAGGAAACTTGAAGGTAAAGAAGCGGAAGATTAAAATGGAATATATTTTTTTTCGGGGGGGGGGGGTTTGTTTTTATTTATTTTATATATTGTGATCTACAATATAAAAAGGATCAGTTTAACGTATATAGGTTTATCAACATTCTCTAACATAACAAAGAAAGAATGATAAAATATATATATAGAGAGAGAGAGAGAGAGAGAGAGAATGAGAGAGAGAGAGAGAGAGGCAGAGCACAAGAGAAAGAGAGAACGTTTTTAAAATGTATATAGAATTTATGTATTTATTTATTTATGTTTAATATTGTGATCTACAATAAAAGAATGATCAGTCTAATATAGGTTTATCAATATTGTCTAACATAAATATATATATATATATATATATATATGGGTATTTTTTTTTTTTTGTTGATATATTTAATTTTTTATATATGTGTGTGTGTGTGTCTATATATATATATATATATATATATATATATATATATATATATATAGTTATACAGCAGAAAGCTAAGGATGAATACAATCAGGATCTGAAAAAAATATAAATTGCCATTGTAACTGGCTTTAGCAACATGCTTAGTCCATTAGGAAACAAAGCGAAACAGTAGCAACTTGACTCATAAAATAACAAACCACAATTAGGTATGTCCTCCTGACGCCGGGCCTTCAACACCTCCTGACGCCGGGCCTTCAACACCTCCTGACGCCGGACCTTCAGCACCTCCTGGCGCCGGGCCTTCAACACCTGCCGACGCCAGGCCTACAGCACCTCCAGGCCGTCAGCATCCCCAGACGCCGTGCCCTACAACACCCCAGACACCGCGCCCTTCAGCTCGTCCAGTCGCCGAGCCACTTTACCCACGGACGCCGTGCCGCAGCACCCACGGACGCCGGCCTACAGCACCCACAGACTGCAACTAGCCAGCTGCTGACCCAGCTGCCCACCACTCTCACTCTGCTCCTACAGATGGACACAGATGAATTCCGCTATGACGTGACAGACTCTCCGCATCATCACACCCTGACGTGAAACCTTTCACCTTCCCCGATCTGACCAGCATTCCGCTCACCCTAACATGTCACCTGCACTCCTCCTAATCATACTCCTCTCCTCCATTTCCAAAATCGCCTCCCTCTACCCCCCTACTCCCCCAAAACAGCTCTACATTGCTCCCTCACTTCTTCCTTTCCCCACTACAGCTCTCACCACCTCCTCCTGATACTCCACTCTCCCGCCGACCCACACGCCACCACTAACAGATCCACACGCTCCTGCACATCTCGTTCCCATGCCACCTTCCTCACCATTCTCCTTCTCCTAACCGGCGGGAACATCTCCCCGAACCCTGGCCCTCCACCTCCCCACTCCCCCTCTAGGCACCCTCCTGCTCCCGCCAGCCGCCGTAACCCCCTCAAACTTATACCCGTCCCCCTCCTCCCCGCATTCCACTCCTCTCTCGGTTGCACTCCTGAATGCCCGTTCGGTTTGCAACAAGCTCACCGCCATCCATGACCTCTTTGTCTCCCACTCCCTCAACCTCCTAGCGATCACCGGAACCTGGATCCAAGCCCCTGACTCCACCTCCCCTGCAGCACTCACCTATGGAGACCTCGTCTGGACCCACTCACCCAGACCGAGTGGTCGCAGAGGTGCTGGGGTCGGCATGCCCCTGTCACCACTGAGCACCTTCCAGGTCCTCCCTAACCCCCCCCTCCCAATCCTTCTCCTCCTTGGAGGCCCACTGCATCCGGCTTTTCTTTCCCACCCCTCTGAGGACTGAAGTAATCTATCGGCCTCCTGGACCCGTATCCCTCTTCTTGGACGACTTTGCCACCTGGCTTCCCTTTTTCCTCTCCTCTGAGCTACCGACCATCATCCTCGGGGATTTCAACATCCCCATCAACGTCAACAACCAGGCTACTTCCCAACTCCTCCTCCTAACCTCCTCTTTTGCGCTCACACAGTGCACACAGTCCTCCACCCACACCGATGGGAACACCCTGGACCTTGTTTTCTCCCACCTCTGTACCCTCCACAACTTCACTAACACCCCCTTCCCTCTCTCTGACCACCACCTCCTCACGTTCTCCATCTCCCCCTCCTCTAACTCCCCCCCCAAAGCGTCAAACCATCACCAGCCATAACCTCCGCAACCTGAACCCGGCCCCTCTCCACTCGGCAGCTGACCGTCTGTACAAAAGTATCCTTCCACTGTCATGCCCTGACCTGGCCACTACTGCGAACAACGACTCACTGTCAGCTGCCCTAGACTCCCTGGCACCCCTAACCACACGTAACATCAGACCCCGACCGATTCGGCCCTGGCAGAATGACCATACAAAATGTCTCAAACGACGCAGTCGCGCGCTGGAGCGATTATGGCATAGGACCGGATCTCCTCGGGCGTTCTCCCTCTACAAATCCGCCTTCCTCACCTACACCTCCTCCCTCCACACCGCCAAGCAAGCCTACTTCGTAACCCTCATCAACATCCTCTCCTCCAATCCTTACCGGCTCTTCTCCACTTTCAGCTCCCTGCTCTCCCTCCCCCCACCTCCACTCAGTGCCTCATTCACCGCCCACGAGATTGCCAATCATTTCCAAAACAAGATTGACGCAATCCGTGAGGACATTGTCAATTCACAATCTACCTCTCCACCTAGCCTCCCTCCATCACCCCCTCGGCTCTCCCCTCCTCTGACCTAGCGGCCGCACTGCCCCCCACCACACCAAACGTCCCACACACTATGGCCTCCCCAGAACTCCGCTCCTTCAGCCCTGCTGCCACTGAGGAGGTCACTAAGGTCTTCACTGAAGCCCGCCTCACCACTTGCCCCCTGGACCCTATCCCCTCACAACTCCTCCGGTCACCCCCCCTCCTCCATCAT